CCTCCCATGGACCGGTCTGAGCCAGGAGAGTGCCCCGGCCATTGGACTTGAGGTCATGATCCAGTGCTACTGACGTTGGTGGAGYMATCCCMTYGGGCAACTCCTAGCCTCTAAGCGCAGAAAGGCTTGTCCTGGCCTGCCTTGGCCAGGACGCCGCACGGGTTTCTTCCGCTGCAGAACTACCCCCGTGACACTAGGCTATTTTACTGTATCCTCCTACATGTCTCTATCTATCCCTCCATCTAAAATCTCATCCATCGGTTGGACAGCTGTTGCCACACGCTGATCAAATTAGACGGTGGGATCATTCAGCCGAGCGGCCGTCAAAACGGTTGTTTGAATGGCTGGTCTCTAGTTGTAAGTTGTTACGCGGGCCGGTACGGCACGTTTCGGCACGGACAGCCCGGGGAGTGGTCCGGCACGAATTTTTTTTTTTTTTCATGAAGGAAAATTTAAAAAAAATAACTTGATAAAATAAACAACAAAGTGAAAACGATTTAAATTTTTATTCTATATGAATTTTAATGTATACAATTTTTCATGTTCATATATGAAATAATAAAAAACGAAATTGAAAAAAATCAATGGAATTTAAATGAAAAGGTATGATAAAACCGAAAACAAAATTTTACAATGGAATTGGAAAAAAATCACAAGTGACTCTTATTGCAATTTACAGATAAAAATGAAAATKAAAATTTATAATAATATTAATTTTTAAATATTATTATTATTAACAAATGTAAAATTCTGGTGTTCCATATTCAAAGTTTCATCCATCATATGGATTCTCATATTATCTAAAACTCTATTATCAGCATTAAAACAAGATTTCGATATGACTAATTTAGGGGTGCTCATGGTTCGATTAACTAAACTGCATGCCTTTTTTTAAACTAAACCAGTTGCATTGGTTTTTGAAAATCCGATAATCAAAGTTTATCGGTTAATTGGTTGATCAGGTCGATTTGTTGGTTTTTTAGTTTTTTGATTTGGTAGATTTACGCAGCAAGCCCCTGTAGAAATATTTATTGTTAGAAGTGGTGTACAATAATTGAACTATCCCTGATGGTGTGTGATTTGGTGCTCCCTACTGACAGACAATTTGGACATTGAACTGAGTAGGTCGCCTATCTGAGCTGCAAAGAAAGAGATCAGAGTGTCTGGGTTGCTTTTACCCGAGGTGGGTACTCCAATATTTAAGTCAGTGAAGAGTTTTGAGAGATATAAAAAACGAGAGAGCTAGAGAGTTGTAAATGCTAAATCATGCGTACCTTTTATGAGGAAGGGGACGCCTTTATATAGGCTAATAGTCGTGAGCTCCACGAAGCGCATCCGAGATCACTGACCTATATGATACAGATGTAGTTTCTTGCCCAGAGACGAACTCCACGAGAGTTGGTAGTGCTTACCCGATTGCGTCCGAAGCAGGCAGGGCGGTAATCAACTCCGTCAACATGGTGTCGTGATCCCGGGGGAGTCAAAGACGACAACTCGCTCGAGGAGGAGAGGAGGTCGCCCGTTGTACGATGCAGGTTGCTAACTGAACCTTGACTAGGTCGGCAGAGGAAAGTCACCTCTTATGGTTTGTCCATAAGTCAGCCTATCGAGGTGGGGCCAAGGAGGTCGTGATGGGTGCAAGGTGTTTGAAGTGATATTGAAGTCTGCTTTACGTGGTGTTGAGATGTCGTTTGATAGATCTGTGATGTCATTGGAGGGCCAAATAACCCTCATCAATCCCCATTCCAGGAATGGGGACATTAAAACTCAATGCACTCCTGGCCCACCTACAGAAATGCGACATCATCCATATTTTCTAAAATACCTAAAATGTCCACAATAAATGCCACCTCACCCCATATTTAGAAATTTCCAAAACGCCCATTTCATACGTGACTGATAATTTCCCTTCGATCCTCTTCCCCGACGGAAGCAAAGATATCTCTCCCTCTTCCCCTTGTTGAGTGTTGACTCCCATCTTCATTTTCACCTCCATTGAATAGCCTGAAATGCAACGCATTTAATCTTCTTCACCAGTGTACATCGACGGAAGCGGAGATATATCTCTTCCCTCCTTTGTTGTGTCTTCTTCGTTGGACTGCAGTCAAACAATGGGTATAGAAGCATGAGCTACTTTTGTAACTTGAAAAATAGGTATTTCAAATGCTTACTRCATAAGTTTTTTTCGAATTCATTTAATATATTAGTTGGATTCGAATATATGTTATGCGTTGGATTTTTTGCATGAATTATGCATTAGTAATCAA